TGGGGGGTTTGTGCCCAGGGGCCCCGGGGCTTGGGGGAGAGGGAGGCCGATCTGTGAAACCATCTGACACTGGGCAAGACTTACATGCAAATCCCTGCCACCCCGAGGACCGAGGGGAGAGAGGACCGGGTGCCCCGAGGCCGGAGATGGTGCCGCGGCGGAGGCTGCGCGGGAGCGGTGACAGGAAAGGCGGCTGCAGAGGCGGCGGGAGGAGGCGAGTGCGGGGAGAGCTGCGGTGCGGGCACTTAAGTCTCCGCGGGACCGAGAGGACCGAACCTGAAAGCGGGAGACATCTGAAATTGCGGACTCAGAAACTGGACTCCGCCAAGGAAAGAGCAGACATCGGGAATAGAAGACTACGTGGGCCTGGGTCCCACATAGGAGGAGGCAGACTGTGTCGGAAAGATTGTTACTCCACAGCCCATCAAGACCAGCTATGCGTTAATATTTGACTCCATTGGGGAGCCGGAGTACTCCTGTCAAGCAGGAACGCCGATAAAGAGCAATAGAATGAAATTCAGTTTTTCTCACAATTAGAATTGGGTAGAGCATAAGACATCCTAGCCCTCCAGCAGGTTACCAGTGGATTTCGAATGTAGAGAGATGGGTTTTTCCCCCCTCTTTTCCTCCTGGTGATTTTTGTCCAAATAATATTCATTTGTTAATTATATCACTATCCATTCATTACTTTCAAATAAGTTACAAAACAGTATGAAGCCCCTGGATGAATGGATTTCAGATTTGTAAAAAATGTATTCTCCAAGAAGGTATCAAACAAAAATTTAAGCAATAAAACTTCCATATTGAAAAATTCATATATTTTTAAACACATTCACCTGAAAATCACTAACAAAAATAAAAAAGTAAAAAGTTAAGTCTTAAAATGAGAGAGAAGAGCAGTTTTGCCCTGAATTCTTAACTAAGGAATGTTATTGAAATGGGCTTAGGGGCATTCCAAGTAACCAAGACAATATAATAATAATAATAATAATAATAATAATAAAATAAAGCATGGGAGCTCTTTAATATTCATTGTTTTGTAATAGGAAATATATCACTTGGTCAGAAAATTCTGCCACCTGGGTCTTTATATAAAGGACATTGAGCAACGTAGTGGACAGTTACATCAATGGCAACTTAAAAAATGCCAGAGGCATATGTCATAATTCTGTCAACTTACAAAACATATTCTACACCTGGCTATTACACTGCTCTACAGAAAAATGCCAGAGGCATAATGTCATAATTCTATCAAGGTAATTCTACAGTACAGATAAGGATCAGGCATGCATAGTTCAGTAAACTGACTTGACACCACGATTAGAGTCTGGAAAATCCTGAAACACAGAGGAGATCATTCCTCTTGAATAACAATTGTTTCCTAGAGGCTTTTGAGACAGACACCTGTTAAAAAGAGTTACAGAGGTTTACTAGATACCCAGTGAGACCCTTATACTAAAGCCTACTGAAAAGGCAGAAGAGTCACAATGTATTTACAAGATTGTTTTCCTGCTTCCGGGACTTGTTACCTTCAGACAGACCATAACTCATTCAGTAAAAGGTCATTCTTTCAAAGTACTAATCTTCAAGGCCGTGTTAGCCAGAAAAAAAAAAGAGACCCAGTTTAGCTGCACAGCAGTTGCTAGGAGTAAACAAATCGTCACCATTGTCTCCATATGCCATCACTCAGGCCTTTTGGATGGGAGCCTTTTGAATACAAACCTAATAAACATGTAAAGAACATTCTTGAAAATGGAGGAGAAAGCATATGCAATAAGAATGTGGTGTGTAAAGGAAGGGAGCTCTTCTTACACTGAAAATAGATGAAGAACGAACTGGCATTCAGAGCAGGAAGAAGTAAGAAGGAAGAGGCAACAGAAGTGAGCTGCTTTAAGGAAGAATTAACAAAGATATGTAATGACTAAAATAGAAATTTTAGAACTGGACTTACTTCCTACCATTAGGAAAGACTACTCCCCCCAAATACCTGTGTGTGGAAGAATATAACCCTGGTATTTCTCTCAGCCCTGAGAGAAGTAGTTCTTACGGAGTTGATTTGACAGTGTCTGGAGAAAATTTTTGGTTGTCTTACTGAGAGTGAGGTGTTGGTGTCATCAAGAGGGTAGAGGCCAGCAATGCTGCCCGATAGCCTACACAAGTGCTGAGCTTGAGAAACTGCCTTAGTGACTAGTGTCCTATTTTTTCCAGCTTGTAAGGTTTTCTGAGTTCTGTGTTATCACAATTTCTGGATATGGGGCCCAAGCATTTGATATTTGTTGATATTTTAGGCAACTTTGATGCTACATACATGACCGAGAAAGACAGGTTTAGAGGGTAGAGACCTACTTTTTCATTTTAACAAAATAATCAGTAAGACACAGATTGCTTTGAGTTATATCAAAGGAGTCAAATAGTGTGCTGATTCCCAATAATCTGTAAACTAACACTTATATTCCACTGTATTACTTCAAATTTTTAACTGCTTAAGTTTTAGCACTTGTTGAATTATTTTTATAATAAATAATAATATGAAATCATTAAATTGTTACTAAGTAATTTACTCTTGATAGCCATTTGCTCTTAAAAATCATTTTGATATCATTTGGACCATAGTGGATTTTGTTTTCATGACTCCTAATACAGTTCTGTGGACAGAGATTGTTATTGAATTAAGGCAGCGGTTCTCACATAGCATCATCAGAATCACCTGAAAGGCTTAATAAAAGAGACTGCTGGGCACCAGCCCGAGTGTCTGATTCTATAGGTCTGGGGAGGGACCCAAGTACTTGCATTTCTAACAGGTTCTCAGGTGCTGCTGCTGCTGGTGATGTGGGGACCCACTGAACTACAGTGACCAAGAAGATTGCTGAAATTTCTTGAGCTTGTGAAAGAACCATGCTTCCAATTTTTTTGTGTGTGCCTTTCAGAAATTATCATTTTAACATTATATCTTTATTCTTAAAGAGTGTGGTTTTCACCAAAATTACAGAATACTTACACTTTAAATGATTTTGGTAATGGATATTAATAATAAAATACTGAGGTTAAATAGAATGCTGAAATTGAGCCATGTAAATAGCAAATGTACATTTAAAATTTTTAATTATAATAGTCCAATTATTAGTTAAACAAATGGGTACTTAAATATTTTTATCAGGGTATGAGATCCTGCCTTTGTTGAAATGGAAAAGAGCCTTTCTGAATGAACTAAAATGATATCATTTTAACTTTATCACTTCTCCCAGTTTTTCTTAGGCAGATTTCTTGAGTCCTAGTTTGGTAATGTTTCTAACATAATTTCAAAAATCAAAACTTGACTCTGGCCCGGCCAGCGAGGCTCACTGTCAACCTATGAACCAGGAAGTCACAGTTCGATTCTGATCAGGACACATGCCTGGGTTGCAGGCTTGATCCTCAGTGAGGGGCATGTAGGAGGCAGCCAATCAGTGATTCTCTCTCATCATTGATGTTTCTATCTCTCTCCCTCTCCCTTCCTCTCTGAAATCAATAAAAAACATATTTTTTTAAAAACTTTACTCTATTCCACACCCAGTAGGGCATTGAAAACTATGGCATTGTTGCTGTCTTCTATGTAGTTCTCAAAGTAGAATTATTGGCAGTTCATCTGCCCTCCTAGTAGAGCAAGAGAAAATGAACCCAGAAAACAAAGAGAAGGGTAATGAGATGCATTCATCAGTGATTTCTGCAGCTTGCCGTATAACCTGTTCAGAGGGCAGAGGAAAGGCAACACACTTCTTATAACTCTTCTTTCTAATGAGATCCATGGGGCACTTTTATTGCTTCAGCTATCCTTGCATTTGGTAAAGGAAGATAATGATGGTTTATTTTGCAAGAGAAAAATTACTGCTTCCTGCTGCTTCCTCAACAGAGCTACAGTCAGGCAGAGATCCTGCTTTTCTCCTTTCCTGAAGAAAAGCCTCTTAAATTAGATGTTGCTTAGATTTGGTCCCACTTGAAACTGGGCAGAATTCCTGTTCTGTAAGAAGTTTATGTTCTTTAACCTCTGTGAATGTTTACTGTTAAAAAGAGAATCTACATATTTTGCTGTTTGTTTTTATGTTCTAGGAGAAGACCGATGTGGAAGGAACCTTATTTGTTTACACAAGGTAAGAGTACTTTTAGAAAGGAAATGACAGCCATTCTTTAATCGTAGTTTTATTTCAAAGACAAGTAAAAGAACTGAACCATAGTTTGAAGTTTTTAGTTGACACAAGGGAACACTGAATAATGTCACCTGGGATAGTGTGACATTATTTCAGAATAAAATTTTAGAATATAATTTAAATTTTTAGTATAGATGAACTTAAATAATTATGTTTTCTAAAAGTAGTATTAAATGCTTATTCTTTAGTTCAAACAAATGGTACAAAGTTCTCGAATATGATGCATTAGCAAACAGAAGTACACTATTAAGAATATTAGATTATTTAATCAATATTTAGAATGGGTCCAGATATTTATCTTTTAAATTTTTATTTTTATTTATAGTTTACATTCATTGTTATTTGGTATTAATTTCAGATGTTCAGCATAGTGGTTAGATAATCATATACTTTGCAAAGTGTTCCCCCCAATATTTCTAGTACCCAACAGGCACCATACATTGTTGTTACAGTATTATTGACTATATTCCCTATGCTTTTCTTCATACCCCTATGACTATTTTGTAACTACCAATTTGTACTTACTAATCCCTTCACCTTTTTCACCCAGTCCCCCAACCTCCCTCCCTTCTGGCAGCCATCTGTCAGTTTTCTGTATCTATGAGTCTGTTCCTATTTTGTTTGTTCATTTATATTGTTCTTTAGATTCCACATATAAGTGAAATTATATGGTATTTGTCTAAATATTCCACACCCAATAGGGTTTTATTGATGTCTCTCCTACCACCCTTGACTATTTAGAGAAGCATGATCCAAAACTAAAGATGTCTGAGTCCTCCATTATTTAGTTAATAGAATATGTTTCAGGATAGATTTAATACACTCTTTATTTTGATTGTGAATAAATTTAATAAGTTCATGTTATTAATAATTTATATCAAACATTGACAGTGGAAGGGAGGGGAGTAAAGAGAGAGAGAAACATCGTTGTGAGAGAGACACATCCTTGCCTCCCGCACTCGCCCAACTGGGGTGGGGATCAAACCTGCAGCCAAGGTATGAACCTTTGACAAGGAATTGAGCCTGCGACCCTTTGGTGCTCAGGCTGACACTCTAACCACGGAGCACACCAGTCAGGACTGTATTTTGTCTCAATAGCTGAACCTTTAATTCATATAAAGTGTCATAAAGTCCATCACCATCAATGAGGGTGTTAATATAAAGGCCTACTACTAATTCTTTCAGGGCTAACAGTTTCATTGGGGACACAGAAAATATACACATACAAGTATATATTTTTTACACATGTGCTCACATTTAAAGATAAACAATAATGTAGCTAGATTACACTAAGTGCCAGTTGATAGGTTATAAGCAATGAATGGGCTACTCAGGTTGTAGAAGGCTTTATAGAATGGTGAGTCCTGAGTCAGCCTCACGAATAAAGATAGAACTTAACTTGTTTAGAGGAGAGAGGGAAGGGCAGTCTCAACACCAAGAATGGCATAAGCAGAGGCATGAAACCTATAGTGATAAAGGGGAGTAAGGAAAATTACTCTGGTGCAGAGTTTACATTGGCTTATGTTAGTTAGAAGTTAACAGTAAGGGTAAAGCAATTTTGCTGGCTTGGAATTTCAGACTAAGGATTTTGAAATTTATTTTCTTAGCAGTATGGAGCCATTGAAGGTTTATGAGCAGAGGAGTAAGAGAATTACAACCAAATGTGCAAGGAAAGTCAGTGTGTCAGCATTACGCGGATGCATTGGTTCTAGAATAAACCGGAGCAGGACATTGAGAAGATACTTGCGGTGGAGATGAGATGATGAGAGTGTGGACCAGAGGGATGGAAGTTGAAATGGAAAGGACTTGTTGAAATAATGCATGTATAGAGGGAATGGTGACATTTAAAAAATAACATTAAGATTTGGAATGGAAGACTGAGAGAATGACAATTATTGGTAGAATGGAAAAATAGATCAAGACTCTGGTTTGAGGAAAAAATTTAATTTTCTTTTGAAATAATGATTTTGAAGTGGTAGCAGGGCTCAGATAGCGATGTCTAGCCACTCAAGTGGGATCAGGGCTGGAATACAGAGTTTGGAGTCATCAGCATTAATTTGGTCACTAAAACTATGAGAGAAAATAGGTTCTTTGAGGGAGAAAGTGGAAACTGAGGAAAACTAATGGTTGGTTTTAGAGCCAGCAGGATACAGAGAAGCGTCAGCCATAAAGGTAAAAGCAGAGATAGAAGAGGCCCGTTGTGGGCATAGCCAGGAACAGTGTGAGTCTGTGTGTAGGTGGGAGCAGAAGTGGGAATGGGAAGAAAGGCCTGGATGGCCAAGGCCATCAGAACAGGTAAGGAGGAGGTTAGTTTATTCAGTTTCAGAAAAATGGTGGGAGTGCTCAAGAGCCGTTGGCTATATTAGTTTACATTGTGTTCCAAAACATTCCAAAAGCATGGGAGCACACCACCAAGTGAGCTTGTTCAGGAAAGACTACTCTTGAGAATTCTGAAGAATGAAAAGAAAAGCAAGTGGTTGAACTTTACTGTGCCAAGCACACAATATGCATTCTCATTTATTTCTGAAAATATTTTACTTCTGAAAAGAAGTAAAAGAAAATATATTAATATGCATTAATGGTTTTATTTTGGGAATTTTTAGTAGAGTTATTATTTTTTTTTTTTTTAGTGTACCCGAACCAAATGTAGGGTTGTTATAAGCACTTCTTAATTTACTTTGAGTTCTTAGTGGATCTGTCAGTTAAAGAAAATATTAAATTGAGAAACAAATCCTTCTTTATATCTTTATATCTTAATCTCTTCCTCAAATATAACTCCTCATTAACAGGAGTCCCTTTTCCCTGCCGTCTTCCCCAAGATCCCCCGAGCCCCCAAAGCCAGATTCTGGGATGCTGAGGTCTTTCCTCTGCAGAGGATGACAGGAAGCTTATAAAGATCCAATGGGCCGAAACCGGTTTGGCTCAGTGGATAGAGCGTTGGCCTGCGGACTGAAGGGTCCCAGGTTCGATCCGGTCAAGGGCATGTACCTGGGTTGCGGGCACATCCCCAGTAGGGGGTGTGCAGGAGGCAGCTGATCGATGTTTCTCTCCCATCGATGTTTCTAACTCTCTATCTCTCTCCCTTCCTCTCTGTAAAAAGTCAATAAAATATATATTTTTTTTAAAAAAAGATCCAATGGGAGTTTGGGGTACAGGTGATGGAGCTGCCAGTGATATCTTTTGCTCTGTATCCATACTGAGAGCTTAATGAAATCCTTGAAGAGTCAAATCTGTTTATGTGTAAAAATACCTAATCCTATTTGAAATTTTTTTTGTCTTCTTTTTCTCTCATGTCTTCTTTTTTTAATAGAGTTCATAGAGAACCACTGGTGATTTCTGAACTTAACACTTCTAAAAGACTCTGTCAGAGATCTTTGGAAGTCAATTTTCATTCTTCCTCAGAATTTAAGTTGAAATGATTATCATGATTATGTCTGGTTTTGATTATATGCCTAATACCACTTTACCTCTCTGTAAAGTGAATTAGACAAGGATTGGCTTCCATCAATTTTAAAATTGGAGGGCTCAAAAGGAAATGCTGTAAGTGGTAATGTAGCTGTATTTTACTTCTTTATCAGTATTAAATCAGATGTCAAGTTTATATCAAACTAAAATATAAATACCTTGTTGCTCATAACACTTCTGTGGGTTTGTTACCCTAGTGCCCTAGTTTAAAGTAAACAAATAAATTCTGCTTTCACTTTCAGTTTGTAAGCATGTGGGGTTTCATTTGTCACAGAAGCTGCATAGTTGAATTGCTATATAGCTATCACCCAAGGGTAGATAAATGCAAATGTAGTTACTAGATTTTATACTCTGTATAATTTGGGTTTTTTCTGCCTGATAGAGAGTAGGCACTAAAGGTTTATTAAATAAAAATAAAAAGTCACTAACAGCCACATTTTTATGGAGAAAAACTTTATAATAGTTTATCTATAAAGCTATTTGCTTTAAAGAAAAGATCGCTTTGTACATTAAATTATATAAAATTTTAATCATACCGTATTTCCTCACCAGTTTATTGACCAGAGTTGCATCATTTCTTTAAAAACTTTCACAGCTTTTAATTTCAGACCAACACTAAGATTTTCTGTGAAAATTTTCTTCATGTAATTGTGACATACACTCTATATTAACTATCATGTAATTACCATCTCCTCCTTAAAGGAATTTATAATCTAGATAGGGAAACAAGATATATATAGTTAAATAAGTAGAATTTGATTTTACCAAAGGATTGGTAATGGGAGTCATGCTGCATGTGTTACATAAATTAATACATTAGTGCTATTAGCTACTACTAAAGAATCATTGCTTTACATGTGTACAGTCTGCTTGCACAAAGCTGTATAGATTTACAAAAAGGTCAAAGGCACATTCGGAATGTAGTTATACTAAAAATATACTATACTGAACAACGTGTCTTTTGATGTCCTCCCCACCCCTTGTGATTCTTAGGTCTGCTTCTCCAAAGTATGGGTTCACCATTATGAATAGGCTGAGCATGGACAATAGGACAGAACCCATTACTAAAGACCTGGATTTCCAGCTCCAGGACCCTTTCCTTCTCTACAGAAATGCCAGATGTGAGTTTTTCTTAATGAATGGGTAGTTTTATTTCGGCAGTTTTACCAAGTATTTAAAATTGTACAGTGTATGTCATTGGGCTTGTGTTTAGTGTCAGTGATTCTAGGGGTCAGGATTGGTTAGCTTGGGAAATGCATGCCCACTTTCTTCCTTGGGAAAGTTTACATGAAAACGATATGACTATATGATGTAAGTATTCAAACCCTGCCTTCTGCAATGAGACCACTTTGCAGTGTGAACCCATTGGAGATTCTAAGCTGGATCAGTGCTGGGTGAGGAGTTTTGGGTCAGGAGACTACGGAGAGGCACACAGGTGGTGCTGTAGGACATAGAATGAATGATTCAGCTGGTGGAACTTTTTTGTGTGTGAGCATTCTGATATTATGTTTGGGGGAGAGGACTAATAGTCTAGAATTGCTATCTTTTGAATATATAGCAAGTCCAAGGAATTTTAGTCATTAAGAATTTCATAAGACTTTGTAATGTTGAAGTCTTAGGTAACTCTGTGGTCCTTGTCAGATTTGAAATGAGCTAGAAATTGCCTACCCAATATTCTGCTTATTTTACTCATGTGTCTTATCTGACCACTTGTGTTGGACTACTGGACAGCCCAGAGAAATATTGATGGAAAATATATAAACTGCAAGAGCATCTATGTGTGTTTGTGCATGCACATGCTCTGTGCTTGTGGGTAACTTTCAGAAAGACCTTGCAGTTAAATTTTTTTTCATTCATTTTCCACCGTGCTCTTTGGGCTCAATATATAAGAATTTGCCTACTATATACTATTCAGTGTAATCTTAATAAGGAATGTAATACAAGTGATATTTGATGTTATAACTCCAATGAATTGTTTTGAAATAAATATAACATCCTTTTACTGCTATATTTATTTGTAATTATATATGTATAATTAAGTTATTATGATAGGTTGTCATCCTATTATTTAGAGAATATGAGTAAATTTTCATGAGAAAAAAAATGAAAGCTATTAATGACTTACTAATGATAGGTCCTGTGAGTGAAAAATTTAGTAAAATAGATAAATATTTTGTTTTCTATTTCTATTTCTTTGCTGGAAGGTGTAATTCCATCAGTTGTTAGCTTGTAGTTTGAGTTGTTTGTGTAGTAACATCAGGTTTTATTTTCCTTTTTGAGATTATTAGATTCTATGTCAAATAATGTATAATTTAAATCCTAATAAAATAGCCATATAAATAAATAGAAAATAAATGAATATTAGTGACTTGTAGTAATCATTTTGGTAGCTCTTACTTTGCATAAATACTTAGTCTAGTTAGTACAGATACTGTTTTAAGTTCTTATTATAATATTACGTATCACATATTATGTACAAAAATATAAGAATCAACCACTCTTTAATGTGGTTGATTTTAAAATTGACTTTCCTAAGTCCCAGAGGATTTATCTGTTAGGTAATACTATTTGAATCTAATAAACATATATTAAGCCTCACCTTGTTCCAGGCCAATGCTAATATGGTAGTCTAACTGCATGTGGCTGTTGAATACTTGAAATGTGGCTAAGTCTGAATAGAGCGGTGCTATGAGTGTAAAATACACATTGATTTTCAAAGACAATACAAAAAAATGTAAAAAAAAATCTCAATTTTATACTGATTTAACTGTTGAAATGATAATACTTTAAATATGTTGAGGTAAATAAAATGTTATTGAAATTAATTTCACCTGCTTTTTCTTATTATTTAAAATTACATATGTGGTTCACATGTGTGGTTCACCTTACATTTCTATGGAATGGCAATGTCCTAATTATTTTTATTTCTTTTACTATATTTTACAATCATAACTTTATAGGGTAGACATTTTTGCTGCCATTTTGCAGATGAGCAAACTGAGGTTCAGTGAAGTGACAGACCTGACAGATATTCACAGATTCTAATTTCTCATAACTTTTTCTTAGAGATACTAATATTTTTGTTTTATAAAAATGAGAAACTGAGGTTAAAGAAATTAAGTAATTTATCATGGCCCATGACTATTTGGAGATGGAAACAGCATTGAACTGAGAAAGCCTAACTTCAAAAGCCCAGGCCCACCCAGCCAGTGTGTCTCAGTGCTGGAGTATTGACCCATGTACCAGGAGGTTGCTGGTTTTATTCCCAGTCAGGGCACATGCCTGGACTGGGGCACTGATCCTTAGTAAGGGGTGTATGAAGCAGCCAATCCATGTTTCTCTTTCATTGATGTTTCTATATCTCTCCCTTCTCCATCTCCCTTCCTCTTTCTCTAAAAATCAATAAAAATAAAAAACAAACAAACAAAAAAGGCCCAAGTAGTAAAAAAGTACTAACACATGAATGATGTATTTGAGCAAGGTATTTGCGATGTATTTCTCACAAAAACTTAATCTTTTTATTATACACTCCAATGTTTAAAAAGCAAGTTTCTTTTATAAAAAGTTGAGTATCTATTTTATCCCAGTTATTAAAGAGGAGACTGTCAAATAAAAACAAATATAACAAAAAGCTGAATTTGACCATTTCTTTCATATTATTCCCTTTAGTAACCTTTTACTATGTTTTCCATTTCATATCTAAGTAAGATTTTGGTATATGGAGATATATTTTAGAAATGTATTTTCCCAAATATCCTATATAATAAAAGACTAATATGCAAATCAACCAAACAGCGGAATGACTGGTCGCTATGATGCGCACTGACCACCAGGGGGCAGATGCTCAATGCCGTGAGCTGCTCAGCCAGAAGCTGGGCTAACGGATCAAAGCTGTTTTAGAAAATTCCTCAGTTTTAAAGTGAATTTATTTGGGTAGTTTTTAAAAAAGAAATACAATTTAAATTCTTTATTGATATTTGTAGGATCTGGGGAAAGTTGCTAAATAATGGGAAATGATACACTGAATGAAAGTGAGAGTTACTAACAGTTCTTTATCTTTCAAATAAGCCCTGGCCTAGAAGTTCCCTTTTAAAGTGATTGGTGGTATTTTAGTTATAGACAGCAGATTGAACACATTCCTGAAACTATAGAAATGACAGTAAATGGGAAAAAAGATATAAACCCACAAGGGTGTTGGACGCATGTCATGAAAAAGATTGAGTAAACAAGAGAGAAGAAGACATGCTATGATAGCTTTATTGTTGACAATTATTAACTTGTCTCCTTGCAGAAGACCTTATCTCTGTTCTGTTGATGTCAGATTTGATTATATGCTTTCGTTCCCCCCCAACTCCTCCATCCACACTGACCCCTCCAGAAGGATATTATGTGGTCACCTGTTGAACTCAAATATGAATAAATTGCTTTGACCAATGAAATGTGGGTAAGAGTGATATATGTCACTTATGAGCACATACTTTAAGAACTAGCTCATGATTCATCATGTCTCTTTTCCTTCTGCTATGATGACTAACAGTATTCTAGGCAGAGGCTTCTCAGTTAGCCGGGAATGAAAATAGCATGGTACAGAGGTAAAAGCAATCCATGATCAACATGTAATATGTATGAGAAATAAATCATTGTAAGCCATTGAGATTGTGGGGTTGTTTGTTACTGCAGTATAACTTGGGCTACGGTGACTGATGCACAAGCCATTGAAGAAAAAAGGGATCCAAACACAGAATGGAGGTAAAGGAATTCTGAGAACTATGATAAAGAGGAATCCCATAATGACTTCTATGCGATTAAAGTAAAGATCATTCAGCCTAAAAGTAAAAGGATAGAAGGCTTCAGGATGGGTATCCAAGGAAAAATTTATAACTCATAGTATGAATCTATTGTAACATTTTCAGTTCCTTTTAAAAAAAGTTTGATGATAGAGGAACATTGAAAACTGAGGGGGTGGGAGGAACAGTAACAAAATGAAGCAATTCTTAATTCCTGGGAAAACAAAATATTGTATAAAAAAGGAAATATAATCATAGTATACCATATGGCTCTGCAGATCATAATACTAAATTAAATTATAAGCACTGAATGTGAAATTGTATTATACTAGAAGGATGTGTGTTTGTGAGAGTGTGTATATTGTCAGAGAACTAAATCCTCAATAGATTTTAAAAATCAAGAAGTGTATGCATGCTATATAGTAAAAGAGATTTAAATGTCAGAAGAAAAGTCGGATGAGAAATAAATGGAGAGCAGAAACAACTGTTATGGATAGAATTAAAATTATTTTGGAGGAACAGTAATTATGAATGTAATGGCTAGAGAAGAGTTCTCTGTTTTTGTAAACTGTATAGTGTTTGACTTAAAATTATGTATGTGTATTATTTTGATAATGATAAAAAATAAAAATATAATTGGATACCAATGCATTCATAAAAGCAATGTTTTAATTGGTGGTTAGATTTTTAAGTGAACTTATAATAGCCTTTCTAGCCCATTGTATACCTACCTAAAAGTAGCACACTAACATAATGATGTACCTATGAAATATACTGGTAGCACTAGTGTGTATAGCATTATTTCTATAGGAAAATTCATTCAAGAGCAAAACTTGTGTAGATCCCCAAAACTATAACATCCTTAGCAGCAGGGCAGAGGACTTCTAATGCCCATTTATAGTAACAGTTCATTTATAAAGCTAGATGTTCCTATAAGTTATATGTTAGCACATGGTCATAGTAAAGTAAACTTTGAAGCCTTCACAGTCTGTTGCTAAGCCTTGGTTCTATATTGGTTCTGCAGTTCTGTATTGCTCTCATCTTTATTCCCACCTCCATTCCAGTTCAGGCTTTCATTACATATTACTTGGAGCATTTCACAACTCCTCATAATAAAAAGACATTAAGCTTCTGACACCAGCCAAGATAGAGAAAGTTCACTATAACGTATCTGTCCCAGTGGTTGTAACTAAAAGTTCTAGGCAGAATACACCCCTCCCCCAAGAAAAATCCTAATTGAGGATTCTGAAAATAAACAATAACAGGCATATTGGGAAGGGAAGTAAAAACCTGAAGAACAACCAGTATGGTGGTGAGTTTCCTGATTTTATTCT